TATATATATATATATATATATATATATATATATATATATATATATTCATATGTGTATATATATATATTAGGGCATTAACAGAGTACTCGAGTAATCTATATATATATATATATATTCATATGTGTATATATATATATTAGGGCATTAACAGAGTACTCGAGTAATCTACAAAGTACACATCGATTGCTAGGACATCTATCGAGGTTAAAAATGTTACGTCGAGTATCCGTAGTGACGTCATATTATGTGACCACCGTATGATCGTAGGGGGCGGTGTTGCACTGTTGCAGATCACAGAGTATGGTGTAACACCGGGTCCAATCCACCAGAACCAGTTTCGATTTAAGTTTTGTTTTTGACGTGCTGCATGTTTCTTCACGTTTGCAGTTTAATAATAATAACTAATAGTTTAGTTTTTCCTGTGACTTATTTGCAGTATGATAAATGGTAGGAGCATAATATACTGTTTGTTTAAATATGCATTTTTTTCCTATTACGTTTAGGTTTAATTAGTTATTTGCGGCTCATGGAAAGTGATATGTTACTGTAATCGACAATATATATAAAAAAAAAAACCATTACTATAGCATTCAATAAGGGTACAAAATAAAGCACCGGTACCATCCATCCATCCATTATCTTTACCCGCTTATTCCATTTTGGGTCACGGGGGTCGCTGGTGCCCATGTCCAGCAATCACTGTGCGAGGGGCGGGGTACACCCTGGATGGGTCGCAAGTCCATCACAGGGCCACATAGAGACAAACAACCATTCACGCTCTCACTCACACCTAGGGACAATTTAGAGTTACCAATCAGCCTAACATGCATGTTTTTGGTCTGTGGGAGGAAACCGGAGCACCCGGAGAAAACCCACGCATGCACGGAGAGAACATGCAAACTCCACCCAGAAAGGACCCTGGACCGGGGTTTGAACCAAGGACCTGCTCACTGAGAGGCAGCAGCTCTACCAGTTGTGCCACCGTGCTGCCCAGCACCGGTACCAAAAAGTGAAAAAGAAATATAACATTTACAAGGTCCAAAAGAAATACTGTAAACAACAACATGGTAGAATATTGATCTCTCTTGTAAATGAGTCCTCGAGGCTCAATGGGATTTACCTGTCTAAATAAAGGTTGAATGAAAAAGAACATAACGGCACAAGTAGGATGAATTAATACTTATTTATACTAATTCATCCTACTTGCACCATTATTTTCTACCATGTTGCCATTTACTATTGTTCTTTTGGACCGTGTAAATATTATATTTATTTTTCACTTTTTGGTACTTTATATTGTACCCTTATTGCATGCTACAGTATTTCGTATTTCTTGTTTTGTTTTTTTTTATTGGCGAGTCATATCGGTTCTTCTCATCCTGAACATTTCATTGCACTGTTGACCTTGTGTTAACCTGCATAAGACAAATAAACAACATAACAATATGACAGCCTGTGAGTGAATTTGGAGTGTGTGTAAGTATTGTAGGACTTTCAAATCAAAAGTAAAGCCTCATGTCCCTGGTGCAACTCTGGCTCCAAAAATACAACATGGCGGCTCCTAAACATTTTGCCTTCAGTTTTGTAAACTGGAGGTTACTGGAGTTGCTTCATTTGTCTTTATTTGAGCCGACGGTTTGAACAAAGCTAAGGTGGAGCACGGCACAGTGAGTGTTAGATGAGCAGAGTGGGCAGAGTCAGTGAGCTGGGTCATTCCGTTTGTTCACACAGAGATCCCATGACTAACAGCTCCGTCAGAGCTTAAGAGTCAGCCGAAGGCAGGAATGTATCGCCTGTTTCTCAGGTACCAGCCACCAACATTCAACATTTCCAAACACAAAACCTCACATTTTCCTTTTAGCTTGAAGAAAGAGATAGTCCGTTTGGAATAAATGGATTTGTTCTTATATTTTTCTTAAATGGAAATTATTTGTGTTCAAATTTTTAATAGCAGTATTACCACAGTCATATCAAACACTGAAGTTTGTTGTTTGTGAGGGATTTATATAACACACACTCTCTTTACATTAACTCTCTTCAACACATCCTTTTTGCTTTTCAAACCCCACCATTTTCTTGGGTAACTAAGCACTCAAGCCCAAACCTGCACTGTCTTATTCATTCTCTCCTCCTGACTCTGCTTTCTCCTTCCCCACCCCCACGTCTACTGTCATTTCAAATGTCTGCTTCTGTCTGCTGGCCAGCTGGTATAAATGGCCCTGTTATTGTGATCCTGCTAATTACATTCAAACTAAACATATTTGCCAACTCTATTGTTTACTTTCAAGGATGCAATAAGAAACTGCTGAGTCAAGAAATTAAGAAATGTCTTTGAAAGCTGGCAAGCATTTCTTTAAAATAAAATCTTATCTATATATTGCACTTCTGTTTATGGAAGTTTAACTTCTACAGAACAAATCATTTATAATGTCTTCTTAACAGTATATTAAAATTTACCAGGTATATAAAATCCCAGGGTGATGTAAATCTTTTTTCTTAAAAAGGTTTTAATTAAAGAAATTAAAAGCAATGAATTTTGTTCATTACATTATTATACAGTGACAGGGAGTGGTGGTGCAGAGGTTAGAGAAGGTGGACCTGTGATCGGAAGATCTGTGGTTCAACTCCTGGTACCAACAAAATCAAAAATGTGGGTGGAATAGGTGAGGCACCCACACCTGGGGTACACACCTGCCTCCACCCTCATTTGCCCCACTCTGTGCCCTTGAGCAAGGCCCTTAACCCCCACCATCTGCTCTACCTGGCGCCCTAGATAGCAGCTCTCTGCTCCACACAGAGGGCTGTGGTAGCTCGGTGATGTGTGGTTGTGTCAGGAAGGGCATCCGGCGTAAAAATAACTGGCAAGACTTTGTGCACGTTAGTTTGCTGTGTTGACCCCTGAAGAAGGGAGCAGCCGAAAGAAAAATATATATACATTCAGTACTATACTATTCAATCTATTATTGCTATACCCTTACTCAAGTTTTTAATTATAAAGTGTGTTATTTACAGCTCTAAAATTTACACCAAAACTAAACAAAACTTAGTATTATATTGTTATATAATTATATTATTATTATTATTATTTTGGCTACTGCTCCCTTCTTCTGGGGTCGCCACAGTGAACTAACTCACACGAAGACTTGGCAACTGTTTTTACACCGGATGCCCTTCCAGACAAACAGACCACCGAGCTACCACAGCCCTCTGTGTGGAGCAGAGAGCTGCTATCTAGGGGGCCCGGGGGAGGAGATGGTGGGGGTTAAGGGCCTTGCTCAAGGGCCCAGAGTGGAGCAAATGAGGGAGGAGGCAGGTGTGGGTGCTTCACCTTTCTCACCCACATTCTGATGTTGTTGATCTGGGGAGTTGAATCAACGACCTTCTGATCACAGGCCCACTTTCTCTAACCTCTGCTCCACCAATTATATGCAATTAAATACTTTAATTATACAGTATACAATTTATATATATATATATATATATTATATATATATATAATACATTAATATAACTTTGTATTATTGCAATCAGTAGGTTAATTTCTTATACTACTGATCTGAAAATCATTGAAACAAATTTAATAAAAATGTATTTTAACTTCCTAAACACATCAGCACCTGATAGTGTTGCATTTGAAAGTCAACATACTACAATATATTCTAATAATCTGCAATATGCAAAGTTAATTATGTGTAATTAGCTGCTAATTGTTGGCAAATAAAAGATAAATGACAATAAGCAGTCACATCCTTCGCGATGAACGATAGGGTTTAGTCAACAATAATTTTCTTCTAAACTCTGGCTAACCAAAAACTAAATCCGGAAAATGGCTAAAGTAGTCTCTGTGACGTGTTAACTCGCAATTAAACACTTAAATAGTTTAATTTTGTTGCACTTCACCCTCAGATATTAACTTTTTTTAACCATACTCGAGTAATATGTCAGTAAAACTGTTTCCAGTCGAGGTAAGCTAGCGCTAAAGTCACCCAGGACTAAGCAGCTCGTCGTTAAAAAGCCTGTTATAACCACCAAAAACTATTTTTTCCCACGTTATAAAAGCTTTATATGAATATTAAACGTGTATCGAGTGTTTAGCTGTGAAATGTTCCGTCGTGTCTACAAACAGCCTGCTGCTGTGTGCGGAGCTAACCGAGGCTGAAACGGAGCACTTCCGGTTTTCTCTTACCTTCCGTCTCTTGTCTTCTGCCGACACACTGAGGAATGAAATGTCTGAGAAATATCACCAAATGTCGCCTGTGTTCATTCCACGGTCTGCTGGGAAGCAGCTAGTATGAGTGAGCCAAAGCGCAGGGAAGAAGTCCAAATGTGGAGCTGCTGACTCCACCCCGGGCCACCTTCCACCGCCCTGCTCGCTTTTCATGTCCTCAGGCGATGCTTTGATTTCACTCACTGAGAAATCTCTGAAGATGAGGCTGTTTTCAGGAACTCACTCAGCTCAAACGAATTAATGCGTAGTCATTGCAAAAGTCTTTCTCATGGTGTTTAAGAGGAAATAAACAAGTCGCAATGGAATCAATTCATTTTTTCATGCCCTCCGGGACAGGGGCGATTCTAGAATATGCCCTTTACGAATGCTTTGCCCCCGGTGCTGAAAAGTGTTGCCAGATAGAGTTGAGGTTTTCCAGCCCCAAAATCAGTTAAAAACCGCCCCATCACACAAAAATCCGCCTAATATTATATTGTTATATTTACTGTTTGAACACTAATGCACATCAGTACAAGGCAAGGTAATTTAACACTAAGTGGCAAAACTCAACAATTCTAACAAAATCTGCCTAGAGTTGTTCTCCGTAAATGACTCTGACCCAGCCACCACAGCAACGTCATATCCAGTGAGTGTCACCTGACACATCCCATACATGTTTGCAGATGGATTCAGAACAACCAAGAAGACTTTCCCGCTTTTCACATTTAGAAGACACAAACTATGATAAGTGTGCACACAAATATGCTAAGCTTATTTCTACATAACTGAAAAAAAATTACTATGGTTGATTTTGAATTCTTACCTTTATGACAAAAATGTGGTTTTGGATTTGTGCACGACACAAGAAACCAGGAATTGTTAAAATTATTTATTAATAAATCGCCGCTGTTGGAGGTCTGGTTCTGGGCACAGGTCCAATGTGCAGAGATAGATGTGTTAGTGAAACTGGTTGGACTGTGAATGTTCTGGGAATAATCATTAAGGTGAGAGTCACTAACCTTCATAGTCGAGAGCGAGGAGTAATCCTGTAGTTGTTTGCAGAGGGTGACATCAAGGACTGTGAGCAGGCAGAAGCAGAGAGCGGCAAGGCAGAGAACTGATTGAGAGGTTGTTTAGAGGCGAAGTCCAGAAAAGCAGGCTCGGGTCGGTAACCACTGGTCAGAGAGCAGAATTCAAATCCAGAGGATGATCCAAAAGGCATAGTTGTGATCATCAGAAGCTGGGTCGGTACTGTGATCATAAGTCAGAATCCAGAACAAGTAAGGGCAAGGCAAGGAAACCAGAAAACAGGTGTGGGGTCAAACCAAGAGACAGACAAAGCTATGGCATGAACGCTGGACATCTACTAACTCAAGGAATTCGATAATCTGGAACTGAAAGACTGTGAACATGGAGCTTAAGTAGTGAGCAGAATGCATGGAATGAGAGCTTATTGCTGTGGAGAAGCAGTATTGGCGTGGTGAGAGGTAGGAGGATCAGAGCACGAAAAACAAAATATGAAGAGTGATCAGAGGCAGGGTCGCCACTCCTCTAGGGCCATTTTAACAGCAAGAATTTCTCAGACGCCCATGTCGTAGTTGCATTCTGCGGGGGCCAGACTCCTGGAAAAGAAAGCACATAGGTATATTTTCTCATTGGAACTACGTTGGTTAAGAACTGCCCCAGTGCTTGTACTAGAAGCATCCTCAACAATAAATTGTTTGTCAGGGTCAGGAAAGTGAAAGATGGACGCAGATAAAAACAGTTTCCTAAGTATAGAAAAGGATTGTTCAGTTTGTTCGTTCCATAGGAACTTGGTCTTAGTGGAAGTGAGAGAGTGAAGAGGGGTTGAAATGAGGCTGTAATTCTTAATAAACTTTCTGTAAGAGTGAGCAAACCCCAAGAACCTGTGTAGTTGCTTTCTATCCTTTGGTGTGGGCCAGTCCAACACTACAGAAACTTTATTAAGAGCCCATAGTAATTTGGTTGAGAGAGATGATAAAACCCAAGAATGATGTGTAAGACTGGTGAAACTCAAATTTCTCTGCTTTTACAAAAAGGTTGTTTTGTAACAGTCTCTAAAGCACAGACCTAACATGTTTTTTTATGGGATTTGATGTCCTTTGAAAAAATCAGAATGTCATCTAGATATAAAAAGATGAACTGGTTCACCATTTCTCTTAATACACCATTGACTAATGACTGGAAAACAACAGGAGCATTTGTTAGGATAAAAGTCATGGCCAAGTACTCCTAATAACCAGTGGGTGTGTTGAATGCATCTTCCACTCGTCTCATTCTCTTATGCTGACCAGGTGGTACGCATTCCTCAGGTCCAACTTGGTAAACACTGTAGCTCCCTGTATAAGATCAAAGGCAGAGGTCATTAACAGCAAAGGAATTTATTGTAATCTTGTTTAAACCTCTGTAGTCAATACATAGTCTCAGGGAACCATATTTTTTCCCAACAAAGAAAAATCCTGTTCCAGCTAGGGAGACAGAGGGCCTGATGATGCCTGCCTGTAAAGATTCATTAATGTAGTTCTCCATATCTTGGTTCTCAGGTCAAAAGAGGGAGTAAAGACGGTCTCTGGGAGGAGTGGTACCAGGGAACAAATCAATAGGATAGTCATATGGTCTGTGAGGAGGTAGCGACATGGCCTTGGCCTTATTGAACACCTCCTTAAGGTCATGTAATCTGGAGGGACTTTTGAGAGATCGGCATAAGTCTCTTCAATATTACAAGGGTTGATGGTAGGCGAGACAGAATCAAATAAACAAGTGGATAAACATTCCTCAGACCATCCTATCTCCTTTTCTCTCCAGTTTATTTTAGGATTGTGTTTAAATAGCCATGTGGCACCCAGAACGATAGAAAGTTGAGGTGAGTTGATAACAATGAATCTTAGTGATTCATAGTGGTTTCCACCAAGAAGAAGTGTGACAGACCTGGTTTCCAAACTGCTATCATGCAAAGAGTGTCCATCAAGGGCAAGGACTTTATGGGTTTTAGCTGTTTGAATCACATCAATGCCTGATGACTGGGCAACTGGTGATCAATCAGTTCAGTGTCAGCTCCAGAGTCTAGGAAAGCTGATACAGAAATGGGTTTCTTACCTGACACCTGGATCCTGGCTGGAATGGTGAATGGTGAGGAGGGCTTGGGTGCTCTGATATGACTCAGTAGGAATCTCCTCCTACAAACTGAATCTGGTCTTTTTAATAGGCACTGAGCAACAGCATGTCCTTCCTCACCACAGTAGAAACATAGGTGCAACTTCTTCCTTCATTCTCTTTCCTCAGGGGAAAGACAACTTCTGCCAAGCTGCATGGGTGCTTCAGGTAGTGGGACGTTTGGTGGAGGGCTGCGAGGAGAGTTGACTGTGGTTATTTTAGACTCACCCCAAGACCGAGTAGTTCTCATTGGTCTGGTTCCTCTCAACCGGTTTCTCTCCCAAAGGTGAAGGCCCATACACATAGTCAGAACTTCCAATGGCTGGGGAGATTCTGGGTAATCCTTGGTGGCCAACTCGTCCTTAATATTGTCATTTAGTCTTTGGAAAAAAGCATCAGAGCTTCCTCGTTCCATCGGCTCTCGGCTGAAATAGCGTGAAAATCAATAATGAACTCAGTGACCCACCTGTTGCCTTGCTTAATAGAGATTAGTCGCTGAGCAGCTTCTCTTTCTGGTAGTACAGGATCAAAAACTCTGCAAAGATCTTTAGAAAAGTCTCTGATGGAATAACAGTACCCTGAGTCATTTTGCCACTCTGAAGTACCCCAAGATTTGGCTTTGATTGAGAGAAGGGAGAGCATGTAGGCCACACTGGATTGTTCTGAAGGAAACGATGGCTGCAGCTGAAAATGAATTTCACACTGGGTTATAAATGGGCGGCATTGATCAGGATCCCCTTTAAACAGTTCTAGGGGAACAAGACATGGTTCATGATATGGAGATGCATGAGAACTAGTAGTGACAAACTACTGGAGGTTGAGTGAAACTCTATGAAGAGAGTTGGTGAGAGAGGTCATGTAACATACCCATCATTTCCAGTACATTGCTTTCAAGCATAATTATGGCTCCCTCCACACTAGCGTGCCATTCCTGGGCTGGCAATGAATCCATTGTGGGCAGATTATACTAACAGGAGTGGGGTTTTGGATTTATGCATGACACAACAAACCAGGAATGGTTAAAATGATTTATTAATAAATTGCCACTGGTGGAGGTCTGGTTCTGGGCACAGGTCCAATCTGTAGAGACATATGTGTTAGTGAACTTGGTTGGACTGTGAAGGTTCTGGGAATAATCATTAAGGTGAGAGTCACTAACCTTCACAGTCGAGAGTGAGGAGTAATCCTGTAGTTGTTTGCAGAGGGTGATATCAAGGACTGTGAGCAGGCAGAAGCAGAGAGCAGCAAGGCAGAGAACTGATTGAGGGGTTGTCTAGAGGCGAAGTCCAGAAAAGCAGGCTTGGGTCGGTAACCGTTGGTCAGAGAGCAGAATCCAAATCCAGAGGATGAATCAAAAGGCATAGTTGTGATCATCAGATGCTGGGTAAGTACCGTGATCAGAAGTCAGAATCCAGAACAAGCAAGGGCAAAGCAAGGCGAGGAAACCAGAAGACAGGAGTGAGGTCAAACCAAAAGAGATAGACAAAGCTATGGCATGAACACTGGACATCTACTAACTCAAGGAATTTGATAATCTGGCAATGAAAGACTGTGAACATGGAGCTTACGTAGTGAGCAGAACAAGTATATGGAATGAGAGCTGATTGCTGTGGAAAGGCAGTGCTGGCGTGGTGAGAGGTAGCAGGATCAGAGCATGAAAAACAAAACATGAAGAATGATCAGAGGCAGGAAAAAACAGGAGCTGTGGCACGAGGAGTCAAAGACCATGGCAGGTGAAGGCAGAAACATGACACCTTTAGTGCAGATTAGATTGTTGGCTGGAACAATGAACATCTGCAGGCTGAACATCTGAAGGCTGAACATCTGAACTTTGAACTTTTACTTCTCTGATGAGCCATAATACAATCCATGGTGATTTGTGATCAATACATGGTCGAATCAAATCTCCCCAATAACTGTTGGTGAATGTTGCTGATGTCCATCCATTCTGTTAGTCCAGAACACACATCTATCAAACTTGACAGTAGCAGTGTGTATAATATTTTATGACACCACCTCACTAGTTCTCTGTTGTCAATGCCCTGGCAGATGACAATAGCCAATCAGTGAAGAAGAAAGGTCAGGGGAGCTTTGCTATTGTGGGATTCCTGGGTTTTGCCTGTCACTCACTCTTCCTTCCACAGCTAATTAACGTCAAATCACTCCATTGCTGCTACTTTGAGGAGGACTGCCTGATGGTGTATTTAAGCTCCTGCCAGACACCTCTTCAGTGATGGGACATCATCTACCAAATGGACCTTCCACGACCTGCCTCTTCAAGTCCTCACTAGGACCTCATCTCTCCATTGGGCTCCACCTGTGGATCAACGGTATCCCTTCTAGGGCTTTAACAGACTACTCGAGTAATCTACACATCGATTCCTAGGACACCTATCGAGGTTTTTAATTTCATGTTGAGTATTCGTGGTGACATCATTACGCCACGTTACGTCATGGCGTCACGTGATCCGCACCAGGCGCGGGTTACAAAATGGATTCCTCCAAGCAGACGGATGGAGCAGAGCAGACCCAGTCTTGATGAACAGGTAGAAATGTATCAATAGTCTGGAAATATTTCACTAAAGATGAATCTTATGGTTCATCTACCGTAAGGAAACAGAAAATGAATAAACTTCCTGACTGTTTAGAGCTCGTTGCGAACCGGTGTTACACCATATTTTGTGACCGTAGGGGGCGGTGTTGCATGCACTGTTGCAGGTCACAGAATATGGTGTAACACCGGGTCCAATCGACCGAACCAGAACCAGCTTTCTCTGACCTTGTTTCACAAACAAAAAGCAAAAAATATTAATTTCTTAACCTATAAAAAAATCTATAAAAATATTAACCTCTAAAACTAAACTTAATGCGCACCACAGCTTGCGGTGGTGTGGGGTGGTCGACCCCCCCCCCCCCCACACACACACACACACACTGTTTTTAGTTTTGTTTTTGACGTGCTGCACATTTCTTCACAATTGCAGCTTAATGATAAAAACTAATAGTTTTATTTTTCCTGTGACTTATTTGCTGTATGATAAATGGTAGGAGCATAATATATGCTCCCATTTTTTTGTTGGTCTTTTTTTTGTAAATAATTACCTTTTTTTGCAGTTTTATTTATTTATTTATTTATTTATTTATTTTTGTATCTTTAGATCCTATGATGTCATCAAGTACTCGAGTTCTACTCGAGTTTTATTATGTTAATGTTGAGTTTAAAAATTATGTAGTCGTTCAACCACTAATCCCTTCAACAACCATCTTCAAACAAATCACAACTGGGTCAACCTGCTCCTCTCTCCACCGCCAATTACCTCCAAACCGGATCCTCTGCAAAACCTAGGACCTCTCCTCTCATCTCCTTCTCGACCTTCACCTAAAAACACAAGAAGTAAGGAGTTATTCTCTTTCTCAAGGATTCATTATTCTAAATACAAACAGAACCCATACTCACCTTGTCCTCTTTTCCCTTACAGCTGTGACGACACAATCACCTGTAAATAAAGCTCACGTACCTTTTGTACTCCTGACTCTGTCTTTACTGAATCAGTCTGCTTACTTGGGGGTCGGCATTGATACAAATTTGATAGTATGTCCCAGCCAATGGACCTCCCAAGCAAGACTGAGGAAGTAAAGACTCAGCTAGAACCAAAAGAAAACACTGACCCTCTCAACTTCACTTTACAGCAGATTTTTACACAGTAACAAACAACCCAGGACAATCTACGGGAACTTGGTGGTATGGTGTTCTCTCTCCAAAAGGAAATGGTGGCCCAAGCTTCATTTTTGTCTCAGTCTACAGTTAGGACTAACAGCCCACACCCCAAGGAACCTGACGTTCAACCATCAAAAATGTTCGAAGGTAACACACACAAATGTGGTGGCTTCGTCCTTCAGTGTAACTTGGCATTCAACCGTGCATCCATTACCTATTTGTCAGATTCTGCCCGCATAACATATGTTGTTAGTGCTTTAAAAGGAGACCCGCTCTAGTGGGCACATGCTTACCTTCGAAGACACCCCATTGAGACTCTGACGTTTGCCACCTTCCTGAAGGATTTTCTTCGGGTTTTGACCATCCTTTGCAGCTGGAGGAGGCAGCCCAAAAACTTTTCACTTTACATCAGGGGAAAGAGACGGTGTCCAAATTCACCATCCACTTCTGCGTCATCGCTGAGGAGTCCGGCTGGGGCGAGATAGCGTTATGCAGTGCTTTCATTATCGCTTTAAACAAACAGATAAAAGCTCAACTAATCACCCGTGACATCCACTCGGATTTGGATGACGTAATCTCCTTAGCGATTCATATCGACAACAGGGTTCATGAGAGCCTCTTAAAAGAGGACTAGAAATCCTGCTAACTCCTCCTTCCCGGAAGTAATGTTTCCGCACTCGCGGATTCCACTTCTGAACCTGAACCAATGCAGATTGGTAGGACTCGGCTTTCCCCCGAAGAGCGACAGCGCCGCCTCAAGGCCAATGCCCGCATGTACTGTGGGAAGAAAGACCATGTAATTGCTGCCTGCAAAATACGGGTAAAAGACAAAGCCCATCAGTAGTACAGGAGATATTGGTGGTTACCACTTCTTTGCCTCCTGAAAAGAACCTGAGTTTACCAGTAATTATCTGCATTAACGCTGTCTACTTTCCCATCCGGGCTCTGGTTGATTCCGGTACTGAACAGAATTTAATCAGCAGAAACCTGGTGGAAGAACTGCAGATACCCACCATAAACCTGACACCAGCCGTCACCGTCTCTGTCCTCACTGGGCAAACCATCTCCTCCATTTCATTAAAGACATTACAAATATTGTTTGAAGTGTCTGGAAGTCACCAAGAGACGGGTGAGTTTTTGGTCTTTGACTCGCCTACATCACAACTTATTTTAGATCATCCCTGGCTTAAGTTACACAACCCTCAAATTAACTAGGTCAAAAATAGAGTTGATAGATGGGGGGAGAGATGTTCTTTGAGATGCCTCCGCTCAGCCATCTCTCCAGGTTCACCTCCTAAACAAAAGGGTGAAAACATTGACCTTTCTGCAGTACCTTCAATTTACCACACGGTGGCGCCAGTTTTTAGTAAACAAAAGGCATTATCCCTGCCACCACACAGGCCATACAACTGTGCTATTGATTTACTCCCTGGAGCTCCTTTACCAACAAGTAGACTGTATAATTTATCTGGGCCAGAGAAGACATCCATGAAGGACTATATTGATGATTCTTTCAAATCAGGCATTATCTGCCCTTCTACCTCACCAGTGGGGGCCGGGTTCTTCTTTGTGACCAAAAAGATAAAACTCTAAGACCTTGTACTGACCATAGAGAACTCAACCAAATTACCATCAAAAACAAATATCCTCTCCCTTTAATCGACTCCGTCTATAAGCAACTCCAGGAAGCTAATATTTTCACTAAACTCGATCTTCGCAATGTGTATCATTTAGTGAGAATTCAAAAAGTTGATGAATGGAAAACAGCTTTCAAAACCTCTTTGGGACATTTTAAGTACCTTGTTATGCCGTTTGGGTTAACTAACGCTCCGGCAGTTTTTCAAGCTCTCATTAATGACGTTCTCAGGGATTTTCTCAACATCTTCGTATTTGTATCTGGATGATATACTCATTTATTTCAAAGACAAAGAGCAACATACCCAACATGTGAAAGCTGTTCTCCAGTGGTTGTTAGAGAACCAGCTTTTTTGTCAAAGCAGAAAATTTTGAGTTTCACGCTACCACTGTGACATTCCTGGGATTCATCTTTGAGAGAGGACAGGTTCGATCCGATCCTGAAAAAACCAAGGCTGTAGTGGAGTGGCTTACCCCCGTCAACAGGAAACAATTACACCGGTTCCTGGGGTTTGCTAATTTTTATTGACGGTTTATTAAAAACTATAGCAAAGTCACCAATCCCCTGACTCAGCTTACCTCTACTCTAAAAAAGTTTAACTGGACATCAAAGCTGACTCTACTTTTAACAATCTCAAACACCATTTTTCAACAGCCCCCATTTTATCACACCCTGATGTCAAGAGGCAGTTAACTGTGGAGGTCGACACTTCCGACTCAGGAGTGGGGGCCGTATTATTGCAAAGAGCACCCGACGATGAAAAACTCCACCCATTCACCTTTTTCTCATGCCGTTTGTTTGCTGCTGAGACTACCTATGATGTTGGCAACCATGAGTTATTGGCCATTAAACTAGCATTAGAAGAGTGGAGACGTTGGCTGGAGGGAGCTGAACTCCCCTTCATAATATGGACAGATCACAAGAACCTAGCCTATCTTCAGGGTGCTAAAAGACTTAACGACCAACAGGCCAGGTGGTCCTTGTTCTTAGCCAGATTCAAATTTTCCATCACATATATTCCAGGGTCCCACAACGTCAAAACAGATGCCCTCTCACGACAGTTCTCCATGGCTGAGGGTCTGGACACCCCTGAGTACATCCTTCCTTCCTCCTGTAAGGTGGATGTCATGACTTGGTCTATTGAGAAGGACATTCTGGAGACCCAATGGACCAAACCAGACCCTAGTACTGGCCCCCCTGCGAAAATGTTTGTTCCTACTACCATGGTTAGTAAAGTTTTGGAGTGGATCCACACAGCCAAGTTTTCTTGCCACCCCAGTACTAGACACATGCTTCACCTCATTAAAGCATCCTTTTGGTGGCCTAACCTGATAAAAGATGTAAAGGATTTCATTTCAGCCTGCCCCACATGCGCCCGGAACAAGCACAGCAATCAACCCCCTGCTGGCCTGCTTCTAGCACTTCCCATCCCCAGCCGACCCTGGTCACACATCGCCTTGGACTTCATCACTGGTCTCCCCATCGCAGATGGCAACACAGTTATCTGCACCATTGTCGACCGTTTTTCTATGTCTGCTCATTTCATTCCCTTACCTAAACTTCCCTCTGCTCTTGAGACTGCCCATATTGTTACTGAACATGTCTTTCACCTTCACGGCATCTCTCAGGACATCATCTCCGACCGTGGACTGCAGTTCATTTCTCAAGTGTGGAGAGGGTTTTGTCGAGCCTTGGGGGCAACTACCAGCCTCACATCTGGATACCACCCTAAATCCAATGGACAAACAGAACGTTGCAACCAGGAACTTGAAACAGCCCTGAGTTGCATTATTAACAACAACCCCTCATCTTGGAGCCAACATCTGCCTTGGATTGAGTATGCCCACAACTCACAAACCTCAGCAGCCACTGGAAAGTCTCCTTTTGAGGTCGTAATGGGTTTCGCTCCTTCACTGTTCCCTTCACATGAGCCTGATGTGGGCATTCCCTCTGTCCACCTTCACATCAGATGCTGCCGTAAGAGCTGGCATCAGACAAGAGCATCCCTGTCCAGATCTTCAGAACAGAACAGATGATTCGCAGACAGACACGATCCAAGGTTCCGAAGTACAAAGCCGGCCAAAAGGTATGGCTTTCTACAAAGGACATAACCTTGAAAGATACCCCCAGGAAACTCTCCCCCAGGTTCATTGGACCATTTCCTGTGGTGAAGGTGGTCATCCGGTCAGCGGTGCATCTACAACTCCCACCATCCATGAAGATACACCCTACCTTCCATGTGTCTCTCATTTTATCCGTAACCACCAGCCCTCTACACCCTCCGACCGACCCCCCCCCCCCCCCCCCCCCCCACACACACACACACACCCGTCTCATAGACAACGAACCAGCCTTCTCGGTACGACGTCTTTTGGACGTACGGCGTAGTCAGGGAGCCCAGTACATGGTGGATTGGGAGGGCTACGGTCCGGAGGAGCGAGCTTGGGTTCCTAGATCTCAGCTCCTAGACCCTGAACTCATCTCATCCTTTTCATTCAACCTTTATTTAGACAAATAAGTCACATTGAGCCTAGAAGACTCATTTACAAGTGAGATCTGTTTGGACAGACAAAAAAGTTGTGAAACTTAACACATGTAGGAATTGGAGGTGAAAAAATTCCTATCAAACCTTTTCTTCTTGCCTGAGAAGAAAAACTTTGATATTAAAAAACACCTTGCACAAACAAGCACATAGTGACATAGACATTCTGCAGAGGAGGGAGACGACAAGAGCAGTGAGCAATGTCCGTAGACACTCTCGAGGGCACTGTAAGAGTTCTGATAAGGATGTAATAATCAGCCAGTGTCCTCTGGTGAGATCCGTAAACATTCTCGAGGGATGTCTTGGAATGGCCAAGGGTAACGTCTATGAGAATCCAAGAGTTCTGAAATGATGACACAATGTTTATTCAGCTGATTTCATTTGGTTATCAGTTGGAAATTTCTCAGGGAGGGGGGTGGTGAACATCAGATCACATGTTCTCCAGGAAAATTCAGATAAGATGGCCTTCAAGGCCAGCCAAGGGAGCCAAATTCAGATAAACACACAGTTGTTTTGGGAACAGGCAGATCTTAATGACATCTACCTTGAGTCTGTGTTGGTCCAAATGGTTCTGAAATGTCCAAATTACATGGCCACACCGATGGAACGCGACTGAGTAAAATCCCCGAGATCTGATCCATTCTGCCCAAAGCATTTGAGTCTGGGTACTGGAGGCACGAACCAAGCCATCATAAAGGCAAGCAGTGTGATCGGGTCCAAATTTGCTGCCAACGACTTCCTTGATTGTTGATAAAACCAGCAACCAGCCAAATCCAAAAAGCAGGAACCGGTTATTGTAAATCCAATTAAATATGCATCCTTAAAATCCACAAATGGCAGCAGAGATAGACACATCATCAAGTCTTCCAAGTCAATGAGATTTCCAGCTACGTGCGTGCCAACAGGGCAAATCGACTCACCTAAAGCCTGTTTTCTCTTCGAAGAAATGTTATGAATTGTGTTGAGGGACCATCTGATCAAAACAAGTCCATAATTATGGTTTGGAATATATGCAAGAGAGGCTCAGAAGCAGTTTCACAGACAGACCGAGCAACAGCAATGCAAAGTGGAGAGAAGGGGTAAAGCGTCCGATCTTGGCAAGAGCAAGTGGTGAATGGTCCTTCTTTAAAGCTCACCCCAAGAAGAGACTTAGATCGCTGAGAGGTGATTCTTGGGGGGTGGGGTGTAGGAGTTCTGGGTCCACCAGCCATTCTCTCACTCATCAGCTGCAGCCAATCCTAATCAACCACCACTCCACACATGTTCCTGGTTTGGAGGACTACTCTGCCCGCCTGGGTATAAGAACCTCTGCCAGACATGCCTCCAGCACTGGGACATTATCATGCTTATGGTAAAGTGTGTGACCAGCCAATAAATCTGTTTGAAGCAATTTGTATCTGAAGACCTTGTTTTTGATCTCCTGCAGAGATAGTTTTTTCCACCTCAGACAACCTGCTCCTCTCTCAACCAACACTCACCTCGTTTCACTGCTTGGATCACCTGGAACCCTGGGACTCCTTGAACCTCTTCTCTCTGAACCAGACTACAAGAAACATTGCAGTAAGAACAAGAACCTCAACATAAATGATCAGTTGCTTTCTGAAGATCATTCTGGATACTCACCTTGTCCCTGCCTTCTCTTTCAGCCTGGAGGATTTTGACCTACAAAATAAAAACATTTATCCTTTTGTAACATCTGACTCTTTTCTTCCCAATCTGCCACTTGTGGTCAAATAATAATCTAAAAATATGACATGGGGACTGTGGGATTCCTGGGTTTTGCCTGTCACTCACTCTTCCTTCCACAGCTAATTAATGTCAACTCACTCCACCTGCTGCTGCTCTGAGGAGGACTGCCTGATGGTGTATTTAAGCTCCTGCCAGACACTTCTTCAGTGTTGGGACATCATCTACCAAATGGACCTTCCACGGCCTGCCTCTTCAAGTCCTCCCTAGGACCTCATCTCTCCACTGGGCTCCACCTGTGGATCAACGGTGTCCCTTCAACAACCATCTTCAAACAAATCACAACTGGGTCATCCTGCTCCTCTCTCCACCACCAATTACCTCCAAACCGGATCCTCTGCAAAACACAGGACCTCTCCTCTCGTCTCCTTCTTCCTTCGGAAGACTTTGGGGGAAGAATCAGTTTTGTTGTGTGTTTCCTTGACTGATGAAGACTTCTGGACCGAAGGCGAAACGTTTCAGCACAAAAAAAAAGAAACTGTCCAGATGACCTGACTGAAAAATGTTGGATTGTATACCTGGATTATTGAGCATGGACTTTGTTGTTTTCAACCTGTTTGACAAGACTGTCAACAAGGAAGACGCCGGCAATGGAGGAGGGGGCGTACTAAAGAGACCATCTTATCACAAGCAAAACTGGTTTGTTCTACTTTGGAGTAAACTGTTGGGGGAAGAATCAGTTTTGCTGTGTGTTTCCTTGACTGATGAAGCCTTCCGGACCAAAGGCAAAACGTTTCAGCACAAAAAAAAAAGAAACTGTCCAGATGACCTGACTGAAAAATGTTGGATTGTATACCTAGATTATTGAGCATGGACTTTGTTGATTTCAACCAGTTTGACAAGACTGTCAACAAGGAAGAGGCCGGCAATGGAGGAGGGGGCGTACCAAAGAGACCATCTTATCACAAGCAGAACTGGTTTGTTCTACTTTGGAGTAAGCTGTTGGGGGAAGAATCAGTTTTGCTGTGTGTTTCCTTGACTGATGAAGCCTTCCAGACCGAAGGCAAAACGTTTCAGCACAAAAAAAAAGAAACTGTCCAGATAACCTGACTGAAAAATGTTGGGTTGAATGAAAAACTTCTTATAACTGAAAATATACTTTAAGTATCCTAAATGTATTGCAGGGATGCTGCCTTCAGTTCTGGTGGCTCACTGGAACTGGGGAGGGCAAGGAAAGAGCTGGCTGCTGTTATTAACTAGGACAAAGCAACATATGCACAGAAGATCCAGGGACATTTCTCCTCACAGGACCCATGGAACATATGGAGGGGCATTAAGTGCATCACAAACTATAAAAGCTGGGGTGCACAATGCCCTATGGACCCATCACTGCCTGTTGTTCTTAACAGGTTCTATGCACTCTTTGAAGACCCAAACAGACCACCCAGCACCAGACTCACCTCACCATCGAAAGAGGAGTTCCTCAGCGTGACCTCAGTAGAAGTAAGGACGACCGCAACTTACTTCTGGAAATTAAAAAAAAAATGGAGTGGCATCAGTGGCATAGCCGTTTTAGGATTTCTGTTTTGTCTGAGGCTCATGTGCCAAATCTCCCCAAAACATTGAAACACATCATTCCATTGTACCACATTGTTGCCTCTGGTCTGAAGCAAAAACTGTAAACATGTTTTTATCTGTTTATTGTCTGAAGACAATGGGACCAACTGTTTGTCAGCAGGTCAGAGACTCAACACAATACAAAGCTCAGCACAAGCAGCTGGATGGAAGAAGCAGAGTGATGGAGGAGAGCTGGGGAAACTGAAGGCTTCATGAGGCTGGCTCAAGGTATCTGTAGGCTCGAGCTACTGTCAAAAATCAACATTCCAGAGTCACGCAGTGAATCTAATGATTCCTCCGAGAAAGGCGATGTGAAGCTGCTCCCTCTTGGAGAGCGTAGTGACGGAAGACGAGCGGTCGAGTAGATGCTCAGCCACCTCG